CCTCCTGTCAGGGAGTTGTAGAGGGTGATAAGGTCTCCCCTGAGCCTCCTCTTCTCCAGGCTAAACAATCCCAACTCCCTTAGCCTCTGCTCATGGGACTTGTGCTCGAGTCCCTTCACCAGCCTCATTGCTCTTCTCTGCACCTGCTCCAGCACCTCAATGTCCCTCCTCAACTGAGGGGCCCAGAACTGCACACAGTACTCAAGGTGTGGCCTCACCAGTGCTAGAGTCCAGGGGCAGAATCACTTCCCTGGTCCTGTTGACCACGCTGTTCATGAAGAGGGAGGCAGCTGGAGAGTTGTATGTTATTGTATTAATCATATCTTCATTATGAAGGCATGAGAAAGAATAATTAAGAGGGATTTATTGGGGCAAGGAATGATGTATTTCTTATTATGTGTGATAAAAGTATCTGACAGAGCAAGAAGTCGTGCAAAGCACTGAAGTACATTGTCAGTCTGAATCATGTTAAAATCTTCCAGTATTTGTTGGCGTAGCTTTCCAAGTTGTTGGGTGTTGGTTTTTGTTTTGTTTTCTTTCTTCATTGTTCTTTCTCTTACATAGCCTGTCATCTACATCCATGTTTTGGTGGAGATTTCCAGTCTCTTACTGGCCTCTGTCTTTTGTAGGCTCATACATGCATATACATGAACAGTCATTCATTTTTTCACAGAGGTCTTGAAAAATGGGTTGGATATTCTGTACCCAAGGCACTAAGCTTGTTTTTGCCAAAACCAGAAGCTAAACATGACAAGGCTCCTGTGAAAGCAGTTTTCTGGATGCGAAGGTGGTAGAGTTCAGTGGGTGATACCTCTGTGCTTGGAGATGCACATTCTAATGTGTTACCAGTGGTCCATATACATCTGAAAGTGGCTGTTTCCCACTTACTGTGATTTGATGAATAAGAAAGGATTTGGTTTGTGTTTGTTCTCCTTTTCCACCTTAAAAGTTGGGTTATTTGAGATCTGTAAAAGTAAGAGAAGATCCATTGCACTTAAAGACTTAGCAGCTTGTTTTTGTTTTTTTTTTTTTTTTGGTAGCCTTTCCCAAGAGATAATTCCATTTCTGTCTCTGCTTGCCAGCAAGACTTTGATTAATTAACAAGATTTTTGTACTACAGAGGATACAAAAGCTTCCTCTGGTGTTAACATTTGATGTGCAGTTGACTTTTTTTTTCCCTTTTTTACTGCTTTTAGTGGAACTGAAGTCCCAATAGTACAAAACTTTTTTCACTTGCTATAAATGCAGTAGCTATTAAATGTGTAGGGGAAACTACTAAATCACTGCAATAGAACTTGTTTCAATTGGCATCTGGTAAATAGTAATCTTGCCAATTTGGATTAATTGTAAGTACACATGCAGCCTGACACATTACTTTATTATATTTGCCCATACAACTAATATTCTTACTGGTGTTTATGCTTATATTTACAGCTGTCAAGCAGTAGCTCAGTCTTGTTTATTTCCTGCACTATTATGTGCTATATCCTTAAAATATCTGAAAAGTCATGCTTGATAATAATTGAGGTTTAAAATTATGTGGCATTTTTGATGCAAGTAATGTAGCTGAAGATACCTAAAACCTCTTGTGGGCATCAAATTAATGTGTTCTACCCAATTCAATGAATTTCAGGTCTGTGTTCCCTTTACATATTCAAGCAAACCCAAAGGAGTGTTCAGGCAAACAAATGCCACATGAATGAGCCTTGTGCATGTGAAATGGAAGTAGCTGCACATTGCAGATAGCTACTTCTTTGTCAATAATAGGCTCTTCTTGTTGCGAGTTGGTGTTGCTATGGCTTATTGACCATGGATTTAATACAGTTTTTTGAGTACTGTGCGTAGCAAAGCTCTGTGTGCAGCATGAAATTCCAACCTGGGGTCAGGGTGTAATGTAAATAAAGCAGTCAGTGCTTGTTCGCCTTGTTCTTACTTGCTCTTAACAGAATGAAAGTTATCCAAACTGTTTCATCACAAAACATGCCATGTTTACTCATAATTGGTTTTCATTTCAAAGTGCTGATTGTCTCTGACCGTCATCGCAGAAAAGAGACTCTTAACTTCCAACCTCTTCCAGTTCTCCTTCTCAGTTCATTGGCATAGTTTCCTAAACTAATACCTCAGAGAATCCTTCCTGGCAGTCAAAAGTTGTCCATAGTAAATCATGTAGTGCAAGTCTAGTTGGGAGAAAAATTGGTAAAAATAAAAAAAACCCAGTTATATTAAGTTGTTCTAAGGTCTGCATTTGGATCTAAATGTTTTCTTCATGTAAAACAATTATGTTTTTATGACAATGGGATTCTATAAGCTATTCAGGTACTAGAAATAAAACCGTAGAAATCACAACATTTAAAGCTCTGGAGACAATTTCTTGGGTTTTATATCAAAATTACGTTTCTCCATCTCTGTCACTAAGCACATAATAAACATTCAGAAACTGAATACCATGGTGGTTGATTCTTTTTCTCTTCTGCTCTCCCATAGCTCTGTGGAGTTCGACTTGAATGTAAACAATGTTGTGGGGATAAGGAACACATTCCTTCTGAGAAGTTATGCATTCAGTAAGTATTTATTGCAAATTCTTATTTCTATGGACTTTGCTTTTTGAATTTGTATTTGGGTATTGAGATAATGTTGAAATTCAGTTTGATACCTATCTAGTTACCTATTTGGCTGCATTAGACAGCTTTGTGGCAAGTTCTTGTTGCTCGTTCTGTGAAGAAAACATATATCAGCTAGGTGTGTTTGTAATTGAATGTTGTAATATTCAGAGGATGACAAAGATTTTTCATGTTAAGGTCCACGTGCCTACTACGAGGACTGTTCCAGTTATTCTGCAGATAATGAGGTCATTACACTAATGCTTATCTGGTAGCACAATCTCCAGTTTATTTCCCCACAGGATGTGTGGCTGATGGGTAGCTGTGTCTCTATGCTGTTACAGAGTCTTTCCTTGGAAAATCCAGCATACTGCTTCAGTATTTATACTAAGATGAAGTCAAAACTGGTTTGTGTCTCCTGAGGAGTTTGTGTTGTAGGGAGAGACTGTGAAACAGACATCTGAAAGGGAAGTAGTAAGAGCAGCACTCCTAGTGCTGAACTAGGGTTTTCTGACTTAGCATCACAATGCCATTTGGCAGATAAGTACATAAGGAGTTTACCTCAGGCTATTTCTTCTAGGGCCTTTGCATTTGTTCATTTTGGGTCCTTCAGTTCTTATGTAAAAGAATTCCTTTCTATTTAGAGTAGGAAGTTATCAGTAGAAGCGAGCTTTACTAGTAAATTTTTACTAATATTTCCGTCAGAATAGTTTGTGTTCCATATTCATGTTAGTCGTAGAGTCTGCAACTTGTGCTGGTTCGGTTAGTTCGCTGTGGTTTCTTCATACATCCACAATAGTGTATGGCTGGAGGAAGATTTCCTTCCAAGCTTAAAAAGGTTAGGAAATAATCTTTGTCATTCATGACTGTGGGTGAGGGGTCACTTTCACCAAGCTGAGTGTTGATATATTTGTTCCTACCTTCAGCCACAGGTTTCCCTTATTCTTCTCAGGAAGTCACTGTAGGGCAGAGATGAATCAGATGTGAAGAGAGCAGTGGAAGGGGTGCTAGTATCCTACCTTTTATTCTGTTCTGCCATGGTGCCCACTTTTATCAGGCCAGTAAAATGAAATTTGTCTCCTGACGAAGGACAAATACTTTCTTAAGGTCAAGGAGTGAGTTAGTAGCTAAGGGAGACTTGTGATTGCAAATATTGTCCCTGATGTGCTGGACCTTCCTAAATAGAAAAACTCTATGAAGCAGACATTTTGTCTTCCTTGGACCAGAAGACTCTCAGATGACATAAGGCAATCAAAACTAAATAGAAACTTTTGTCAGACACTCTCTTTGCATACTTTTATAAGTTATATCAGCAAGGGTGGGTAGCATTAGAAGTTTTGGGTTCAAACTGATGGAGTGGAAGTTTAGGTTAGATATTAGTGAGGGTGGTGAGACACTGGCACAGGTTGCCCAGGGACATGGTGGCTGCCCTGACCCTGGCAGTGTTCAAGGCCAGGCTGGATGAGCGTTGAGTTGAGCAACCTAGTGAGGAGGTGTCCCTGCCCATGGAAGGAGCTTGGGCCTAGATGACCTGTAAGGTCCATTCCAACCCCTAGATTCTGTGATTCTATTATCTGTTCACTTAAATGTGTGGTTGAAGGGCTTCACCCTGTGTGGAGGAAAGAAAAAAAAGATCAAGTAACTTCTCATGTGGAAAATGTATTGGTCTCTTTGTTCCATTAGAACAAATGAGATGCTCAGGCAAACAAGTTGTCCTTGGGCCTAGATGACCTGTAAGGTCCATTCCAACCCCTAGATTCTGTGATTCTATTATCTGTTCACTTAAATGTGTGGTTGAAGGGCTTCACCCTGTGTGGAGGAAAGAAAAAAAAGATCAAGTAACTTCTCATGTGGAAAATGTATTGGTCTCTTTGTTCCATTAGAACAAATGAGATGCTCAGGCAAACAAGTTGTCTTAGTGAACATGATAAGGATGAAGTGAACATGATAAAAAAAGCCAAATCTTCTAAATATTTCTGTGGATACTCATATCTCTTTTTTTGGAGTTTGTTCTTCTGTGTTGGTGCATAGATGCTGTAGAAAACATGAGAGGTGATGGGGCAAGGTGAAGCTAAATGTCCACAGAAAATGTAGGTAGATTTGAGCAGAGCTAGAAACTGAAGCCTGTGGCGTTACCAGGGGGTTGCTGAAGGAGGCATGTGTGTGATTAAGTCAGCAGTTGTTGGTAGGTGTTTTTCAGTTAGTGGAAGCTGCACTCTATCTTTGAGCAAATGACATCACTCAGCATTTTCTTGAGGTGGTATCTTGTATCAGAGTACCAGCCAAAGTTTACTGGTCTTATTGCACACTGACTTTGGTATATACTAATTAGAGGCACCAGCAGAAATAGAATCATATCTCAGGATGAGTTCAACTGAAAAAAAAGATCTTTTGTGCTGTGACACACACATGAAGGAGTCCTGTGTGGAACTGTAGTTTACCTGTGTTCCCCAGAAATTCAGAAGATCATACCTGGAATGTGACTGTATTCAGGTCTTTCCTCATGGAAGGCACATGTCTTGGTTTAAAGAGATATTGTATATAGCACCTGATCTACATAAAAAGCTGTTGAGGACAAGGCAGATTTAATGTTTGTATGCAGGGGTTACTGCTTTCATAGCTCCTGAGATAGACTTAGGAATGAGCCCTGTGTCCTCCAGCCAGGAGAATTCCTTTCTCTGTCCCCAGAGTTTATATCACCCAAACAGAAAAATAACTTAGGGTCTGTCCTGTCAGGGAAAATCAGCACAATAAACTGGAGAGAGCTTAAAAGTGCAATGTGATACTGCTGTATTGACTGGTGATGTACCCAGTATTGTCTTTTCTGCAGGTTTCCTGGCATATCCCTAGTAATGTGTGTGTGGACCTTACTACTCAAAGGCAAACATGTTGTTCTGATTTTTACAGCATGAATAGTGCCTGTAGAATAACCAAGTAAATTCTATAAAATTCTTGCAGAAGGTAACCTTGGAATACAAAAATGTCACTTTGGTCAAGTAGGAACAAGTGCTGATTAATTACTGTCTAGTTCAATGTACTTTTTCTGAGATGTGTTCATTTTACTTGCAGTTGAGAATCGAGTTCGTCCATTAGTACTCGTTATTAAGAAGTGGGCAAGATTTCATGAGATAAATGATGCCAGTCGTGGTACTTTAAACAGCTATAGTCTTGTGTTGATGGTTTTGCACTATTTACAGAGTAAGTACATTGTTTTACATGTTGAAACTGTCTCATTTAAGCTCATATTTGTGTTGATTTACTCTTTAATAAGATTAAACTCCATCAACAGTCATATTCCTCTCAGAAAAAGTTGAGAGTAAAGTGAGTTTACCGCATTTCCTTGGTGCTGCATTTGTCAATAACAAGTGGACCTCTTCTCTGGAGGCAGAGTTACCAGCTAAAGAAAGCTTTTTAATAACTTAAAAAATAAGTGTACCTTCAAGACACTGTGTAAATATAAAATAAACTCAAGCACTGCTTAACAAAAAAATCTGCCTTTGAACAAAGGGAAAATAATCTCTAGTTAACAGAAATTTGCCTTTTCTTAGTATGTTAAGGGGTTGGATGGACCTTAGAGATCATCTAGTCCCACATCCTCTCTTTGTCCTTTTAAAAGGACAAAACCTAAACATAATTTCAGGGGGGTTTGTTTTGTTTGATTGATTTTTCTTTTGTTTGCTTATGGATTTGGGGTTTTTTTTTGTGGTCTGTTTGTTTATTTGTAAACTTTCAGGAAAATTCATAGGGACACCAAATACTGAGGGGTCATTTTACTGTTTGCTGGTGAGTGAAGGCCTGAACCTGGAGGACATGTGTATGCAAGAATGCACTGTCATGTGGTTAGATTTTTTCACTGGTTACTGTCTTCTGTAAGGTAACAAGTGTCAAAGATGATTAGAAGTTACTTCCAGTGGCAGTATCTGTTCTTGTGACTCTAATATGTTGAAACATGTCTCTATGGAGCTGGAGAGCTTTACCTGAGAAGCTAAGAATCCTTGAGGAGAATTCAAAAAACCCCATGAGGTCCAGAAATGTTTTTGAGCAGTAGATTGGAATGAGCTTATTCCCCTATTTATTTCCTTCATCAGAGAAGTCCACACCTGTGGTTGTTTTTGTTTGCAATTCTTGCCTAAGACTTAAGGAATCTTTTAAGAAATCATTTAGTTCAGTGTGAGTTTCTTGGTTGCTTACTGGGAGGTAGGTGGCTTCAGAAAGAAATGCAAGTGTACGTAGTTTGCTAAGAGATTGGAATAGAGCTTAGAGGTGATCTAGTCCTGACCCCCTGCCCTGGGCAGGGACACCTCCCACCAGAACAGGTTGCTCAAGGCTTTAGCCAACCTGGCTGTGAACACTGCCAGGGCTGGGGACAGCCTCCCTGGGCAACCTGTGCCAGTGTCTCATCACCCTTACAGGCAAACATTTCTTCCTAATATCTACTCAAAATTTCCCCTCTTTCAATTTGTACCCATTGTCCTTTTTCCTGTCACTGCAGTTGCTAGCAAAGAGTCCCTCTGCAGCTTCCCTGGAACCTCTTCAGATACTGAAGTTGCTATGATGTCTCTAGGCAGACTTCACACCTTGTGAATATGCCTGTAGAAGTATTTATTTGATTCCTGTCAGTTCATTGCTGCTTGTATTGATTCTACATAATTTTTTTTATTTTTTGTACCCTTGATTATTCTTGTCTATGTTATTTTAATGACTACTGATTCTTAACATTTTATGATCATATGTGTGGACAACTTTCACAGACTCTCATTTTAGACTTTTCCTTTTTGTCAGTTTGTGTAGGTTTTAAACTTTATTTTTCAGTCAGATAGGAGTAATATTTAGCTCCTTTGACAGCTTGTTTGGCCTGGAGTGTAGGTACTTGCTGCAGAGTGGATGGCTAACCATGTCTTAGTTTCAGGATGGCACTACACCCACTCTGTACTTGAGTGGAAAGCTTTTTATCAGTTGACTCAAGCTTATGGCTTGCTCTAAGCTGAACAGTGTGTGTGAAAGGGGACCTCTAAGGGCATTTTTTTGTACTTGGGATCCAGTTGGCAGGATCTCTTTTCAGTTCTTTGACGCCCAGACCTTGTTTTTGTAGTTAATGTACTAATCTTGAGGACAGTAGGACATAAGATAATCTACCCAGTGAGTATGGTGTTTTTCTCCTCTGCAGCTACTGTGGTGGAATTTCGTAGATTTCAGCGCTTTTGTGATAAAAACTAATGAAATGGCCAAGTCTGTTGTCTTAACACTGAAACCACACTGTAGGTGACTGAGTAGATCCTTAATACACACCAGGGGAAAAAAAATAAGTAAAAAAAGTGTTGGAGATGAAATGCCAATGAACTTAAAGTGATTATTAGAGTCAAAGTGAAAGTGCTGGGAAGTACTAGATGTGATGATTGTGATCCAAAGGAGAAGCACAAGCTGGAGAAGGGGAAAAATTGTCTTTACCTGGTCTAGGAATGAGTGACCATCTAAATAGTGACTTGATAAGCATTTTATGGTTAGTGTTACACTTGTGGTGGAAACAGGCCTTTTCACTTGGAAGTCTATTTTCATTGTATCACAGTTACTCTAGGGGCTTTATTAGGTGCTGTCAGTCGTGAATAGCCAACACTGAGCTGTTCATAAGGTAACATACCAAAGGGAAAAGAGCAGGACTTACATGGGAGTATAAATGTGTAGCCTTGACAGAATGTCAACAACACTGCAAGCATGAGGGCATTTCCTGTAGTCATCTCTGGCAGCTGCTACAGCTGTCTAGAGAAGGGGAAAGAGGTTCAAGTAGGTCCTTCTTCATACAAAACTGATCAGTCAGCTGCCCTGGAAGGATCTGCAGTCCACAAACCAAAGAGGAGCCTTTTGCCTGTGTTTCATCAGCCTTTTCTGCCAAAAAAGTCCCCTGAGTTGTGGTTCAGGACATGTATTTATCACTAGCTGTTTAGATTCTGATGTTTTATTCATGTAAATTTTAAGTTGGGGTTTTTTTCCTGCTACGTGCATGTGATGGTCCTGAAAGTAGCTTGTGTCCTTCTAACAGAGTTTTCATTGATGTTACTTGGGAGGGGGAAAAAAAAAAAGCTTTCTTTTGCAGTAAATGGTGTCCCTGTCTTCACTAGGCAGATTTCTTTCCTGTACTACTTAATTAATTTCCATATTCTTATACTCATTTGGATGTCTTTGAGCCCAGGTTTAGTGTGGCTTGAGTTTATTTTGTAGACATCAGTATGTTGCACATGAACTTTCTTCCAGGTAACAGGTCTGACTTGTACCATTACTTGTACAGAAAAAGGTGGTAATGAAAAATGATATGGCAAATGCTAGTGGTAAGTGGTAATTTTTCCCCTGAAGTCCATCCTCTTTGCAAGGCATACAGACCCAGATACAGTATCCTGATTGGTTGGATTGCTCAGATTTTGTTGCCTTTTATTTTATTGTGGCAGAGGACTGGAAATCATCCAAGATGTTACAGAAATACGAGCTCTTGCATGTTTCAAAACACCCACAAACCAAATAAAAATAATATTAAAGCAGCTGTGATCGTATTCTTAGCAGTTCTGATACTTCATGTATTGTACTCTTTGAAGACACTCCAAGCACATTCTGAGAGTTCTGCTGTTCTGATTCTTAGTCCTTATGGAAGAAGGATTCTGTAACATCCCTTCCCCTGTGAGGCTTTGTTGCAGTGTGAATTGAGTCTCAAGTCGAAGTCCTGTGTACTGAATTTAATTATTATTCTCCCTAGTGAATGATGTAGACCAGTTGTTTAAAAAAAGCCTGATGAAGGCATGATGCTAAAGCTTTAGTTAGTGCTCTGCTGCTGCTCTAAGGCTTGAGTGGGATGTGAATACTTTTGGAAGTTTTTTCTGTCTATCTGCAGAACCACCTAATCTGGGTGATAATTTTCCCCCTGTTCTATATATTGTGCAATAGATGCTCTCCCAGCCCATGATTTTCATAAAAGTGACATATGTTTGGTTCATTTTGTGTTTGTTAGTATCTCTGATGAGTGCAATGACCTTTATAACCTGTTTGCCATTTAGTAGACCAACTAACAGCATAAGTATATATATTTGGGGGGGATTTTGCTTGCAGTGCCTACCAAGTTCCATAGTTTCATAGTATGTTAAGGAGTTGGAATGGAGCTTAGAGGTGATCTAGTCCTGACCCCCTGCCCTGGGCAGGGACACCTCCCACCAGAGCAGGTTGCTCAAGGATTTATCCAGCCTGGCTTTGAACACTGCCTGAGTTGGGCCATCCACAGCCTCCCTGGGCAACCTGGGCCAGTGTCTCATCTCCCTCGCATTATAAGTGTGTTGGGCATTTTTCTTTAAATTACTTTTGGAGTATGTAATACTTTGCAGCTGAAAAATGTGTGTTTTTCAGTATCTGCAGATGTCTTACACTGTGATGGAGTTGTATTAGATATAGGAGGAAAAAAAGAGTGATGAAAAAAGCTCTGATTTTTTTCTTGTAGCGAATCTAAGTGATTTTCTTACAGTCATGAATTAATACAAATTTTAGAAATTGGGAGTTGTACCCTGCTGCTCTGAAATCTGTCATGTCTTCCACATATAGTAGTATCTTGGTAACAGCTTCCCTTAGCTGAATAAACTTGTACTACTAGGAAATATAGCCATAGAATTATTGGCTGAATAACTTTCATTTTACAAAATGCATGAAAGTGAAGTTCTTGATAGATGATTTTAAGATAGAATTTCAATCCAAGTCTTCGGTGGTGTTGATATGATACTGTTTCCTGTGAATTAAGGGAATCACAACAACTTTAAACTCCTTTTTTTTTTTTTACAGCCTTATCTGAGCCCATCATTCCATCCCTCCAAAAAAATTACCCAGTAAGTGTTTCTTAATACATCAACTATGTGTATGAGCCTGCTTATCTAAATATGTGAATTCTTAACTATCTCTAGTGGATTAAGTTGGGAACAGTCTGTAAGTCTAGTCATTGATCTGCTAAACATAAGCGTGAAAGAGGTTATTTGCTGCTTTTGATCATTTCTTTAATGTAAGTTCTGGTGTGTGTGAGAAGATTTCCCACACAGTTAGAAACAACTGCTAATGAAAGCTGCTGACCTAATTCTCTTTATGCTGGCCTGAAAATATCCCTGTGTCAGCTGTAACTTTCTGCTTCTTATTTCTTAGTAAGTTAAGTAGTGGGTTTCTTTCATCTAGCTCTGGTGTTCCAGAATTCCATGCCCTCCCACAGCTGTTGAGTTGCCTGATATTTCTGTGACCAAAGAGTGAGAGAGACACATTTACTAAGGAAACTTTTGAGACATCACAAAATTTGGCTTCAGTCCCACAAGAAAACACCTTTGTGGGACTTTGCTGTTATATCCGGATCATACTCTGTGGAGTACCAGAGAACTCAGTGTGCTTTGATCCCTCAACAATTAGTAGTGTTATTAGTGAGATTTAAGCTTAGGAAGTTTACCTAGAACTAACACCTGCCCTGCTAAATATTTGTGGGCAAAAATGCTACTGCGGAATAATTCTATGCTATAACTTATTTACAGACACTCCTCAGTTCCTTCCTCATTACTTTTCTTCTCACATATCACTTGTTAATTTGTTCTTTATTCAGAGTTGCCACAGTTTGGTGTCCCTGTCTGTGTACGGTTTTGTTTTATCTGCTGCTGACAATTGTGCTGAGGCAGTATCAGAAAGCCATTCTGTCTTTTGCATATATTTCCTATAGTGCTGAAACAGGAATATTTAATGACACTGTTCATCAGGGAGAAAATACTGTGGCATCAGCCATTTTTGAGTAATTGGGGTAATCGAGATGCAGGAGAAAGCGTTGAGCTATAATACACTGCAGTTTTATTTCCATGTTGTAAATCTGCTTAGGCATACCTGTGCTACCTTTTTATGGTCTTTATCTTTTCCTCTGATTTTATTATCTTACTGTATACCCTCTAATTCCTTCACTGTGAGCATGAAGAACATCTGAAGCTGTCAGTCATTTCTTGTTCACTTAGCTTTATCTGATAGGTTTTCCAGTTGCTAAATTTGCTCTTTATGTTTCCTTAGAGTTCATGTGCTGTAGTATTTTAAATAACATGCTACACAAAACTTAAAACTGTAAGAATTGGTAGCTTTTGACTCCTTTGTAATCATAACGCAAACATTTATTTTTGCAGTGTTTGCACTGTGTGAAAACCTTCAGAGCACTGTGCAAATATTAATGCCTTCAGTGATTAAGGCAAAAGTGCACAGTACCATAAGCTGAAAAATCTAATTAATCTGCACTAAATGCAAAGTTTTATCTCGTGTTGTGTGAAAATGGTAAATGACTTGCAGGTGCCTCTGTTTCTA